TATAATATATAATATTTATATAATATGTGATATTTATATAATATATAATATTTATATATCATATTAATATAATATATAATTATATTAATTATATTAATTATTAATATAATATATTAATATTTATGTAATGTATAATATTTATGTAGAATATAATATTTATGTAATGTATAATATTTTTATTATATATTTATGATATTATACAATATATGAAATATAATATAAATATAAACTGGGAATGGTGGCAGTGATTGCAGCTCCTTTTCCACTTGGGAAGAGCTGCCAGGAGAAAGAAGGGATGGGAGTGTGTGGATGGGCAGCTGGGACCAAGGTCAGTCCCTCTCCACCTCTGTCCAAGGGGGAATGTTCACACCAACAGCTCCCAGAATAAATTCCCCTTATTATGATCCCAAAGAGCCCAGATGGCCCTGACTGGGATTTTGGGATTGGAAGGCAGGGGCAGGAAAAACTGGGACAGCTTCTTGTGGTGCAAACCCCTGGGGGCACTGGGATTGTGTTTAAATTGGGGGTGATAAAGAAAATACTTCAATTTTAAACTCTTCCTTTTGGGAAATACTCGCCTGCATCCTGGGAAATGGGATTGGAATGGGATTGGGGGGTGCTGGATGAGGGATGGGGCAGGATTTGGGGGCTGAGCACCTAAAATTAGGGCTGGAGGATGGTTTTCCACCTGCAGAACCACCTGAGATGGTGCTTTTGGGGGGGAATATTTTACACCAAACTCTCCCCCTCACATGAGTTGTGGTGGGATGTTCGGAAAAGAAACCCCAAACCCCGCAGAGATAAAAAACCCACGGAGGCAGCCGGGATTTTTAGCAAAGATTCTGCTCTCTTTATTCCAGAGGGTCATAAACCAGCAGCAGATAAAACAGTATCAAAAAAAATATGTACAAAAATAGCAACTATTTGCACTGGAGCAGCGAAGTTCGGGATCCAGAGCACGAGGAGGATTTTTTGGCCGCTCGGAAACCGTCAGCAAGGGGGGGAAAAAAAAGAGCTCTGCCACAAGCATTTTCCCAAAGAAGCATCCAAGAAATTCAGTTTATATCTAATTTGCAGTTTCTATCTAATTTTCAGAGTTTCTAGCTCATTTTCAGAGTTTATAGCTCATTTTCAGAGTTTCTATCTCATTTTTAGAGTTTATATCTCGTTTTCCCAGCCCAGCTGAGTCTTTCCCAGTGTGAGGTTCCCACCCCTGTCCGTGCAAAGGACACGGGGATCCCTCTCCAGGGGATGCTCAGAGCTGTTTTCCAGGGGATTTAGTGCAAAAATCACGGATTTAAGCGGCATCCCGAGGGTCTGGATGTGGGAATTCTGCGGGAGGTGCTCTCAGGGGGGG